CATTGTCTAGCAAGTGTTACAATATGATTGGCTAATAAATGGTTTCCCTTGCTTGAGGGAAGCTACGGCCTTAACTTAATTTTTGGAGAAAAAATGACTAATGCACACGGCTTATTAGGGCTTAGCACAATTAACTCGTGATTAATATTAATTAATCACCTATCTTATGTTTAATTGTTAAATTAAACATAATACTTAATTACCAAAATTATTTCGGACGTAAACGGTACGCCGAAAATAGATTTCGATAATCCGACTGAACTTAATTAATTCCGAAAATAATAAACGATAACGTTACTATATCGGAATTAAACGTAATTTATACTGATAATATCTCGGGATATTACATGTCCCCTCTTTGGAGCTCATGTACTTTCCAAAGAAAAATATTAACTGGGCCCATTTGGTAAATAGAGTAGTAACTAAAACCTCTCCTCACTCACTGTATTTTCTTATCCTTATGCCCATTCCACCCTGATTCAAAGAGTAACTGATGACACAGTTCCATAAAACGTTATCCTAAGAATGAAACTGATATATATATATCATTCAAAGTGTCAACCTATCTTTAAAACAAGCCGAGCTACACACCCTCACTGCATCATCTTCAACCATTGCTGCAACTTAATCACATCCAATTTGCGTTGTAAGAATATGAGAAAAATATTTGATGTATTATTCACAAAGACATACACATATATATAGATACATAGAAGGGCCTTAGCCGCCTAAGTTGGCCTAAACCTAACTTATTGTACAAGAACACATTTAACATAACTAACACCCCCCTCAAACTCAAGGTGGTATAGTGGAGATCAACTTGAGCTTGCTAAGAAGTAAACAAAAGCGACCGAGAATGAGAGACTTCGTGAAGACATCCGTGTTGGCTCAGATGCGCAATGCGGAATATGTAAATTAAAATATCAAGGTAAAATGGTGAACAATAATCCTAATCCCAACAACTCAAAAATGACAAAATAAATCTCTTGCAATAAAACAAGAATAATTATTTTCTGATGTGGAAGATCAGATTAAACTGCGACCACAGAGCATACTAAGAATATCCCAAATAAATAAAATATGCAAGAAATAAGACACCAATATTTAACGTGGAAAAACCTCCAAATAGAGGAAAAAAAACCACGAGACAACCTCCAAACAATTCCACTATATTTTCAAGATAATTACAATATTTTTTCACACTCCCTTACACTAGAAATATAAAATATAGTGACCCAGTGAGAATCCCACTTCTAAACAAAGAGTAATAGAGGTGATACCCAACCCGGTGTATTTTTCCCACACCCACAGGATTTACTCAAACACTCTATTTTTATCTCACTGAAAAATAACACTCCAGAAATTATTTCTGCTCTTTTTTTCTTTCTTCTTCTCGGTGCATCTTCAGCACTGCAAATGCACCTATTTATACTGATGATTTCACATGAAACCTGCACCAAATTCAGCCTTTGCCCTTCCTCTTACTTTCCTCCATGTGGGCAGATTCTTTTTCTTTTGTTTGTATTCAATAATCACATGGAAAAGCTTGGTTGGATGTGACAATCCGCTGGTTGATCTATAGAAGAGACAAAAACAAGCTTCACAATCCCATGTGCAACATGTTGTTGAATGAAGTGACAGTCAATCTCAATATGCTTGGTACGCTCATGAAAGGTATCATTATGAGACATCTTTATAGCACTCTGACTATCACAATGTAAAGCAGTAGACGCCAACTGAGGTGCACCAAGATCAGCAAGTAGTCGACGCAGCCATAATAACTCTGACGTGGAATCAGCAAGAGCACGATACTCAGACTCAACACTCGATCTGGAAACCAATGTTTGCTTCTTACTGCGCCAAGAGACAAGTGAATCACCCAGAAAGAAGCAGTACCCAGTAATAGAACGACGATCAGTAGGATCTCCAGCCCAATCTGCATCAGAATAACCGCTAAGCGTCAAAGAAGAATGGACCGAAAAGTGTAAACCATGCAATAGAGTGCCCTTCACATAGCGAAGGATGTGCAACACAGCAGAATGATGCGTGGTTCTTGGAGCAGCCATAAACTTACTCACAATATGAACAACATGAGCTATATCAGGCCGAGTGACAGTCAATTATATCAAACTCCCAACAAGCTGACGATATAATGTAGAATCCTCAAGAAGAGAGCCATCAAGTGGAGTAAGACGAACATCATATCAAGAGGTGTGGAAGCTGTCTGACAATCAGTGAGACCGGCCCGAGCAAGAAGATCAGAGGCATACTTGGCTTGAGACAAATAGAATCCATCAGACGAATCAGAGATCGCAAGACCCAAAAAATAGCGAAGCTGGCCCAAACTCTTCATCTCAAAATGCTGACGAAGATAATCCTGCAAATCGGAAATACCGGTAATATCATCCCCTGTGATGATCATATCGTCAACATAGAGTAGCAAAATAATGATCTCGGAGGAGGAGCGCCGAAGAAATAAAGTAGAATCGTGATCACTCGTAGTGAAACCAAACTGAAACAATGCAGAACTGAACGTGGCATACCAAGCACGAGGCGCTTGTTTCAAGTCATACAAAGTTCGACGTAGACGACAAACTTTCCCAGATGACAATGATCCAGGAGGAGGAGTCATGTAAACCTCCTCAGACAAGGCACCGTGTAAGAAGGCATTCTTGACATCTAACTGTAGAAGAGACCATCGACGAACAACAACAACTGCAAGTAAACACCGGACAGTAGTAAGACGAGCAACCGATGCAAAGGTCTCTTCATAATCTACGCCATACTCCTGTGAGTAACCCTTAGCAACCAAACGAGCTTTGTAGCGCTCAATAGATCCATCTGAATTGGTCTTGATCTTATACACCCACTTGCATCCGATGGGAGTCTTGCCAGCAGGTAAATCCACCAAATCCCAAGTATGAGTCTTTTCTAAGGCCTGTAATTCCTCAGTCATAGTTTTTTGCCACAATGGATCAACATTCGCCTCACGAAAAGACCTAGGCTCATGATGGGATAGAATGGCCAAATAACAATGATAGTCAAGTAAGTGAGAAGGGGGACGACTTACACGGGTTGACCGTCGGTCATCAATGGTGGGCGAAGGGACAGAATCAGAAGAGGACTCAACAGGAACCGTCGGTTCAGGATGCGCAGGTGGAGCCACTCCAGAAGACGGAGGGATGACAGACGTGTCAATAAGCTGTGAGTCAGGACAAGTATCTGGAAAGAGATCCGAAGTAGTGGACATGAAGAAAAAGGGACGACGAATCAAAGGGAATGTGAAACTTAGACAAAGAAGGAAAAGTAGTATGCTCCCAAAAGGTAACATGACGCGAAATACGCAACCGATTAGCAATAGGATCCCAACACCTGAGCCCTTTGTGTTCTACTTCATAACCCAAAAAACAACACAGACGAGCCCGAGGTTCTAATTTAGTCCGCTCATGGGATGGGAGAAGAACAAAACAAACACAACCAAAAGGGCGTAACTGAGTATAATCAGGCGACTGACCGTACAACCTCCCAAAAGGACTGATATCTCGAAGAACCGAAGAGGGTAATCGATTGATAGCATAAATAGCAGTCAAGGCTGCCTCACCCCAGAAACGATCAGGACACTGAGTAGAAAGGAGAAGAGCACGAATAGTATCAAGAATGTGACGATGCTTATGTTTAGCTCGTCCATTTTGTTGAGAAGTATAAGGGCATGAACGTTGAACTACTGTGCCTTGACAAAAAAAAATTGTAAAAAGGTGGAATCTTTGTACTCAATGGCATTGTCAGTACGCAATACTTTTATGGACAAGAAAATTGAGTGAATCATTCTAGCAAATTGAATATATATAGCGGGCAACTCAGAACGATGTTTGAGAAAATAGATCCAGGTAAAATGAGAAAGATCATCAACAAAAATAACAAAGTAGCGAAAATCATTCATAGAAGAAACCGGAGAAAGACCCCAAATATCAGAATGTACCAAACCAAAAGGTTTATCAGCAGTTGACAAATTCTTAGAAAAAGAAAGAGCCGAGTGTTTCCCAAGTTTACAATGAAGACGCATGCCCAAGGCGAAGATGTCACTGAAAGCTGGACTTATTATCGGTGACTGGAGTAGAAAAGGAGGAAGAACGAGGGATATGAAGAGACTCAAGCTCAAATAACCGGCCCATCTTGCGACCCGTCCTAAGAAGCCGACCCGTCTGTGTATCCTGAACCTGAAAACCAGAAGAGGAAAATATAACATTAAGACCTTGCTCAAATACGAATGTCTTTATGGATTTTGCATCCACCAAGACCATACAGCTACATTCGGCTTCATAGGCATGTTTTTAACCAACTCATAAGCCTCCTCAAGTAATAGATCAATCAAGCAGGCAACCATAGTTCTTTCCTGGAAAGGAAAACAACTCTTTTATATTCTCTTGTAATGTAGTTGGCAGAAAATTCACGACCCTCATTTATCAAATCATATGGTTCAAGAGGCCTACAAAGGTGACCCGATTAGTCTTCATCCCCATCTAAATCAAATCGTCAATTAAAAGCTTTGTTGTGGCTGACCACGAGACAACTATACATATTCCTTCATTTTCCCCAACACATCACACACAGCTTCCAAACATCCACATTTGCATGATCATCGTGTTCCAATTAAAGTAACATCTCGATTTGGCATTATACACAACACTAGAAGAGCATCGTTTATCTTACCACATGATGCATATAAAAATGGGCTACTACATTTACCAGAACTAATTTCGACCAAAGCCTTTTAGTTATTTTAATCAAAAGCATGTATAAATCGTCACATGGGAAATATCTTGCAGTATCAGACATGCCTTGAGCTCAAATGGGGTGTTAATTTATGAAATGCCTTGAGCTCAGAACCATAAATTGGAAATGAGGAAGAGATAAAAATCAGTACGTTCTTGCCAAATGAACTGAAAAGGAAGCATCTTTATGCAGATAGGAACTTGAACAGGGGATACGAGAGGAGAAGTGAGATAATATGATTTAGCGAGAGAAACTGCAAGAAAATGACAAAAAGGGTAAAATTTATATATATATTTTACCTTTTCCAATAAAAGAAAGTAAAGTATGCACCATTTGTTTCAAATAGCTTTGCTACATAGCTCGCTATAGTTTATTATATTATTTTTTATCCAAAAAATGCAATGTAGCTTTATATATTTAAAGTTTTTTCTAAAAAGCTTACGCGAAGAAATAACACATTTTTTTACGTTATTTTGCGTTATTTCAAGCTAATTCAATATTTCTGCAATGTTATTGAAACAATAAAATATTCAAAAATTTATATTTTGTAGGGATTAGAGTTATAATTTTAAATGACAACTAATAACTAAATTTTTATAATGATTTTAAATTAAATGTTTAAAAATATAAAGTCATATATTGAATAGTGCAATATATATGACTCCAATTCTATTATATCATTATATTTTTCGGTATTTGACATTTGAATTTAACAATAAAAGTTCAGATCTAGCAATTATAATTAAATTGTAATTAATCTAATTATGACTTATCTTATTGTATTTTGGTTGTTTGTTTTTAACTTTTAGTATATTCGTTTTATTATTTAAATTTTTCTATTATGATATTTATATTTAACATTTGTAAAAAATAATTTTTAAATATTATTTTATGAGTTTATTAAAATATTATGATAATTTTTAAAATCAACCATCTAATTTTATACGCGTTTTAAAACACTGGCATGCACAAACCCGGTTAGCACAATTTCAATTTAGGTTGCCTGAAAACTAAAACCCTTAAACCTGAAAACTGTGGTTGCCAGTTCATAATTTTATCCATTGGAAGCGACAGAAGCGACAATGGCAGCCCCGCACCTAGCAAGTCTGATAACGAAATCGTCTCTCAGGAGACCGTTGGCAAGCTTTTGCAGAGCACCCAAAAGCTATCTCAATGCGCAAAGCAGGATTTTTGGAATCAACCCAGTTACCTCGCAAGGGTTTCCTAGCAGAACATCGCCGGCGCCGGCCGCCGGTTTTAAGATGTTTGGTGGTACCGGTTTCGGGTCTGTGCAATTTGGTATTCGCTCTTTTAGAGTTTCGAGCGGCCGCGGAGCTGGTGGTGGGTCTGGAGGCTCTGCCGGCGGAGGGTCTGGTGGTGGTGGTGGAAGTGGTGGCGGTGGAGGAAATGGTTCGGGTAACTGGTCGCTGCTTTCATGGTAGATATTTTATCTGTACTTCTTTGGTATGCTTAGGCCTTTTTTGTTTTTCCCCAATTAAGTTGATGCATGTTAAAGAACTCTTTTTTTTTTTTTTTTTTTTTTTTTTTTTTTTCTGTGCATTTGCAACTTTGGCATTGTCACGAGGGAACTTTAGAATGAGATAGAAGTAGTAATAATATAGCTGAGACATAAAAAAATCAGTCATTCTCATGTTTACTGAGCTTTGAGCATTTGTGCAAGTTAGTTATAGGAAAAATAGTAGGAGGTTAGCAATGTGTTGAGATGCTGATTCTTTGCCAATGGATTGGCAATTAATAGCTTAAGAATATGATAATACATGTGAATAAGCTGTGCTCGTTTGTCGTTCTCTTGTAACAAAGTGCCACTTGCTCGTTTAATTTGTTTCCCAAAATTCTGTGCAGGTATCTGTCTCTCCTTGCCAAGCATCCTGTGACGACAAAAGCAATTACATCAGCATTCTTAACTTTGGTTGGAGATATGATCTGCCAGGTACACTGTCTATTGCATGTGATAAAGAGCATGCAATTGACCAGAATGAATGATGGGAAAGGAGAAATAGAAAAGCTTGTTTCTTCCTTTCCTGATTATGTGCTTGAAAGCAAATAAGTAATAGGTATTGAAGTTGGAAACTTTGTTCGAGTTCTCAGGTCTTACTGTCTACAGACAGATTTCGAACTCATGGAATTTTTAATAAGTTTGAGGATATGAATTTTTCGGCAAGCATAAATGCAAACTTCAAGAAAAGAGAGTGGCTATGTTTAGTTACAGGAGTCACTGAGTTACGAGTTTGATATAGTGTTCAAGTCACATGTATAATGCATATAAATTTATGACTGCTACTGTTGGTAATTTATGGAAGGATTGTATGTTTTATGGAGGAGATGACACAATCACTTTAGTAATTCATATGCCCTATCTGGATTATTCAGTTTAAACTTTTGACGAAGGACCGGAGCCAATATCTCTTTATCCTCAGTTAAATTTTACCTGTGAACTGCTTAATAAAGACAGACAACTTTTTGCGGTACACATATATGGTGCCTTTATTTGGAAATGGTCTACCTCATGCTTTTATAAAGACAGTCGAACTCTTAAATATTTTTCTCATTGTCATCTTTTGGTCATGGCCTGAAAATTTATGATGTCTGCTTCCACTTTGAATTGCAGCTTGTAAACCAGTTGTTATTACCATGACATTTGAATATATCTCACCAAGGTTGCTAAAATATTAACTTGATTATGCTTCAACTTTCTGCTTATTTAACCTTTTAATTTTAATTGTTCTATCATGCTTGCAACTAACTCATTTGTTGTGATCCTCAGCTTGTGATTGATCAAGTACCATCTCTTGACGTGAAGCGAACATTTCTGTTCACACTGTTGGGCCTGGTTTTGGTTGGTCCAACACTGCATTTCTGGTGATATTCTGCATGCCTAATATCAGCAACCATACCTTGAATTTTGCATAACTTCATTACATATGTTATAATATGTACATATCAGTCACATCAAATTTTGGTTTCATTTAACCCCGAAGTAATATTCCATTGAAAGCTGGAGAAGCCTTACTAGCATAAACTAGAGAACACTCGTTTAGTATGATATTGCTTCATACATTTCAACAAATATTAACTTTTTGTATTGCACTTTTAGGTATTTGTATTTGAGTAAACTGGTTACGACTCCCGGAGCTTCGGGTGCTTTTTTGCGCCTTATTCTTGATCAGGTGACATTCTGCTGCAGCCTGATTGCATTTTTTTAGTTTTGATAGTCCTTTTTATTTTATACTGTTTTCATTAAATAGACAATACTTAACCTCTTTACTGGAACTGATTCGATGTTTTATGATGCAGTTTGTTTTCGCGCCCATTTTCATTGGAACTTTTCTTTCTATTCTGATGACTCTTGAGGGGAGGCCATCGGATGTAATACCAAAACTGAAACAGGTACAATTAGACATGACGACATGATAATTACTAGATTTAATTATATTTTATTTGGGATATGTTTCTGCTATATGTACACCCACCCACCCACACACACACACACACACACACATATGTATACAGAAATTCTATGGAGCCATCGGATGGCTCCCTTATGGAGTCATCCATAACTTTATATACTGACACATGTCCAATGTGCATTTATTGTGGGACACGTGCCAATACATCGTTTGTGAATAACAATGGATGGCTCCATAAGCCGAGCCATCCGATGGCTCCATAGCAAAACCGTGTATGTATATATTAATTTTTAACTTTTGTATATAAATGGTAGGAGTGGTTCTCGTCAGTTCTTGCAAATTGGCAGCTGTGGATACCTTTTCAGTTCCTCAATTTTCGATTTGTGCCCCAACAATTCCAGGTTTGGTTTACTTGTGTATGCCTAAACAAATCAAGATGGGTTATGCTGTTTTCTTGAGGAGAAAAATATCGTACCAGCACCCGGATTTTACCAGTAACTGTAGTGTGAATGCATGAACTATGATGATGACTTGCACATTTATCTTTAACAAGGATAAGAAAGCTGTTGTTTGACTTAAAACACATGTTTTTGTTGCAAAATTCTTTTTACAGGTCCTTGCTGCTAATTTTATTTCCTTAATATGGAATGTGATTCTTTCATATAAAGCACACAAAGAAGTTATTGCCAAATAGGTAAGTCACAGTTCAGTTTTCAACAGCAACGAGAAAAAAGTTGGGTAAACTTTTCATGCACTTTTGTACACCCATGTCTTGCAGCTTATCAGTTGGATTACTCGTTGAAAATGTTGCAGAATGTGGGCTGAGATGGGGTTTGTATGGTAGTTTTAAGTTTGAGAAAGGCAAATATGTATCACCTTTCTTTTATGTCTTCTAAAGCAGAGTTTTATTTTGCCGGTTTTTGCGGCTGCAGAAACCCGTCTTTTGATGTGAAAGGTAGATTAAAAATTGTGTTATTTGGGTCTTATTATTTATTGATCTGAGCTATGTCCAACTGTTAGTTGGCTTAGATTTCTTTACAACTCTTCTTATGGGCTATGTCCAAGTGAGCACCAGTTCAGTTTTTTAACTGGAAATAGTCAGTCCTCCTATTTATGATTCTACTTATGTCTTGGTTTAAATTTTTAAATGAAACAATATAATGCATACAAAGTGCAGGTATTTTCTTGAATAAATCTGTAGTTGGATGGGTAATTCATATTTATGATAACAGTTGAGATCAAGTTTAGCATTACCCTTTCTTTTAAGGATGATGTGTTTGTCTGCCAATACAAGGCAATTTAACTAATTTGAAAGAAGAAGTTTAGCTCGCAAATTAAGGATCATTAAAATGAAGATGATATATGTCTGCCATGTTGTCCTGCTTCCGATCTTTTATAATGCTTAAAACCCTTTTGATTTTCTTTTGCAGGTAAACCAACACCAACTAAACCACTAAAGCCATCTGAAATAGTTAATCAAACACGCTTGGCACAAACAAAACTGTATTTTTTTTTTTTAGAAAAAAAAAATAATATTAATTATCATGTTGCAACTAGAGCCGTTAATGAAATGGGCCACTCGTGGCATGGCTTGGCTCGTTAATTTTTTAGAATGACTCGGCTCACTGAAATATCGTTCAATTAATGAGTTGGGTTGGGCTAGGCTCATTAAGGTTCGTTGAGACTCGAAAAAAAAAAAATAAAAAAAATATAGTACGGCTTGTTAATATTGATAAAGAGTCAACCTTGAATTCGAGCTTGATCAAATCGAGTTGAATTCAAACGCGAGTACCATGAGCTTGAACTGAGCTGAGCTCGGCGTTGGCACTTCCACTGCAACTTTGTGCAAATTCAAAATAAATATTCTGACTGCCTTCTTATCCAATGGGACCCTTGAACCTAATACGCGCTTGTCCGGGAAATGTCAGTCAGCCAAGACTGCCAAAGGAAAATTTTCACTTCTTAATTTTATATTCATTCCTTTTTTAACCGGGAAGAAAAAAAAAAAGAAAAAGAAAATATTCGTCCTGAAAATAGAATAAAATAAAAAATAAAACTTAAACCTGGATTCTTCAACAGTTTTAAGTGTTTTTTTTTTGGTGGAGTACTGTAGTGTTTTTAAGTCGTAAGCAATTAATTGTGTAATAAATATTTCGCGTGGGGTCACCGACCATTTGCCAGACAGGCCATATGTGCAATTTAATGGACACTGCATATGTTTATTACAAAATAAGTAAGTAGTAGTAGTATATTCCAAGATTTTCCTCCAACTTTCCTCTGTGTCGTCTTGTTCTTTTGTCTACACCAATCAATCAACTTTCCTCAGTTTCTTAATATTTGCTCAAGCTCAAGCACAGTGAATATAAGAAGAAGAAGAAGAAGAAGAAGAAGTGGAGAAAATGAAAAAGGATGATGATGATCATGAGATAAGACCATTAGAAACAGCAACCTCAGACAGATCATCACCATCTCCTCCATTGTCTGAAGAACCTCTCAGCTCCTCCCAAAGCCCATCTTCTTCTTCAGACCACTCATATGCCTTCACTGGTATCTAACTCAATTGAGAAACATAACTATGTTTTTCCTCATACAAATGGATATTAAGATTTTGATTTCCTTTCTTTGTTTAACTTCTGAAAAATTTGCAGATCACAATGGTTTTAGGCCAGCAGCTGGCAAGAACCACAAGGTCAATAAACTAGAGAGAAAAGGAACCGGCTTTGTTTACCGAATTCGCGAACACGGTGCATACATATATATATTTCTTGTTTTTGTTTCCCCACAT